CAGTAACAATAACAATAACAGTAACAATAACAATAACAGTAACAATAACAATAACAGTAACAATAACAATAACAATCTGATCGATAACAATAATGAACCTTTTTGTTATTAATTAATTAACAACTGCTATTATTATTTATCTTCTTAAATGATTAATGTAACATAACATTCAATATCGTTAATCAGAAATTGGTACGAAATATTACATCCCACAGATGCAGCTACTTTCAAAAAAGAAACCAGTGTAGAATGCCACGAAAATGTCAACGCCAGCGATCCAGGTCTATTTTTTTCATCATCTCATTAATAATGAAAGAATTTTGAGATATTTTTCTTGTTGTAATAATGAGTGTTTTTTACTTGGAAAAATGGCATACAATTAATTGGTCACTCATTTTTCGTACTAAATTCAGTTTGTGAAACAGTAAGTTCGAGCACAGGATATTATAAGCCGAAAACAGAGTGGAAACTAGGCTTGAGACGTTCTTTCCCATGTCGTCTGCGGGTTTACGATTCCAAGTATGCTGTAACTTTTCAATTATTGCATAGTGTGGAATTAATATCACTTTCCAATTTCCGAAATAATATCACTTCATTGCAATGAAGACATTTTGAGTGACAAAAGTGCTTTGAAATCACGCTTCAACGAAATAATTATTGCACTTTTTATTATTTCTTGAGTGGAAACTAATTCAAAAAAAGCTATAATTGTAGGGATTCGGATCATTTTGAGCAGAATTACGAGTATTTTCATTGTTGCGGTTCATTACGTTATGTTGACAAACCAGCTTTGATGATGTTACTCATCAAACTATTTTCATCGCGTAAGCAATATTTGAAGGGCAGAAATTGGAGCTTGAAAATACTAGAAAAAAGACTTACGAGATTCACGTCTCCTAAGTCTGTTTTTTTTTTCAATTTTGAAACTTTTTAAATGCCGATAAGATTATGTGGTTGTCAGATTTAACTTTCCCAAAATTTGTATTTCTTTGCAGGTGTAGAGGAGCGATTTCAAATAACTGTAACACCAAATGGTCGGATCATCCGTTGCTGTTCTGGGTATGCAGTTTTATAGATTTTTGAGCTTACATTTTCGCGTTTAAATCCGATAATTTTGCTCTAATGATTTGCAAATACACGATCTCCTATACATTTGCATCGTACATAACTTTTTAGATTGCCATTCATTCTGAAACACCTTCCACAAGATCTTACTGGACGTTATTATTACGATCTCATCCATGAGGGCGATCTGCTTGACGTAGCATATCATCATAAACAAGGTTTCTAATTCTTCCTTTCTTTCGTAATGTTATTCAAGTTAGAACAAACAGGCTGAAAATTTCCTACTTCCAATAATGTTTTTTTTTTATTAAACGAACAAAAATGCACAAAACTACCTATATCTACTATCTACAGCTAACGGAATCAGAAGTGAAAAGTATTGGAAGACGACGGAATGATAACTAAGTTTCAGAGTGAAAGATTATTGGATTAAAGCTTATATATTTTTCTACTCTGATGTATTGGCTTATAATATCACTTCTGTTGTAAATTTTCCTAAGAAAATAATTTTAGTATTAAGTCAGCGTGGCACAAAGGAAGCGAGTTACAGAATCAGGGCAGTGAATAAGCATTGCGTCGAAGTAAATGCTACTTGGATGCCGTTTACGAATCCATGGAATCTCAAAACACAATTTATCATCATTAATCATCGAAGCAAGTGGGATATTTTCTAATTGTACCAATGAATCTTACTAATTCGGATATTTCACCATCGTTGTCATTCACTTGCTGATAAGTATCACAGCTGAACAACCAATAAACCAGAACACGAATTCTGCTGCCACTCAACTAAGACTATTCCGTTTTTAAAATACTCCACACGAATGGGAATTATTTGCAGCTCAGTAAGATGCGATGAAGAATCAAGCCCGGAGCAGAGTATTCTAAGACAACTACTATCAAATAAGCGGTCTCAGAGAAACTATCAGGGTACGATATTTCATGAATCTATGGAACTGGCGATCTCAAAAATAAGCTTATGTTCTGGAATGACTGATTAATTCCCTCATTACTGTCTCAAACTCTTTCGTCCGATCGTTGAAGATGGTTAAAAAACTCCCCATACACATCGTAGGACTCCTATTTGCCTAATAAATCCAAAAAGCTGTCTTATTTCGTTAAGAAATCAGATTACTCACAAACTAATGCTCACATATTTGATAATTAAATTTACAGAAACAACTGAATCAGTAATTGGTGTCGCTCGACTGGGAGAATCTGTTGCTGAAGCATCATAATGTGACACGAATGTTAATATACGTAAACTAATAGATCCGAAGAAAAAAGCGAAACCCAAGCTCATCAAGAAATTTACTAACCGACACCACTTACCATCTTACCATCTTTGTTTCTTAATTTCTTGAACATTACATTTAGTTTTCATTTTACTCTTTGTGAATAGAATAGTTCTTTTGACTAATAATTTTCCAAATGCATTTAGAAACTGTACGACGGCAACGGAGAGGATTTATATCGCTAAACAAGATTGCTAGTGAAATTTTTTTACTGAAAAATATTAAGAAACAAAAAGAAAATGCAATTTTATAAACACACATGACCAGTAAGTAATCACAACAGAATTTTTCCAGTAATGAAATAAGGTTCAAGGCAATAAATGGAACTTCAACTGACAATAAAACAGGCACTGTAAATAGAACAAACGCTTAATGCATTTTAAATTTAAATTTAAAAATTTACCATTCAGAATTACTGAAAATTTAAAATTTTTCTGGCAATTTATGAAAAACACAAAGAGGCTAAGTTTCAGAAAACAAAACATTGAAAGTGCAACAGTGATTTGCATAGTTAATAGTGAAAATTTTAAGATACTTAAGAAATGATGGTACATAGAGATCTTTCTTTTTTAATGACATAGAAATGGTACATAAAAGCAAAACAGCATTGTCCCCACACAAAATATGAAAATTATACAAACGATGATCACGATCAGCAAACATATTTTTTTCTGAAATAAACAAAGGAGGGACATCTATTCTGAAATCGAAATAAGCAAAAAATGAAATAAAATCTCAATTTCCTGTTATATCTGATGAAAATTTTCCAGATCTGAAATCTAAAAAATTATAGTAATTATAATACGAACCTTCCGAACATTTGCTCTCATATTTTTAGCTTTGATCATGTTCGTGTGAGCTTTCTGCGCATATTCTACTGCACTTTCAACATTTCGCTCTATGTTATTTAGCATTTCACTCTACAAAAAACTAAATAATTAAGAAAAGAAATTTTTAAGATTCGCAACTTCTGAAGAATACTACTGCTTTATGTGATGACAAGTCAATACCTGGCTCTGAATGAGCGTTGCTAATTCGACGAATAGGCCGTGCAACTCCTTAATACTGCTTTCTAATTTCGCAATATCCTCGTGACGTGTCTTTACTTCATCATATAGAGCTTTCTTATCCCGTTCCGCCAGCATCAGCTGGAAACAAGAAACGCAGTAACTCAATTAACATGCAGGTTAAACATCCTTATTTATTTGCAGGAAATCATTAAATCATTTACGGTTTACACCACAATGTGATCCAACAAGAGATAAAGTTTGAAAAAGAAAAAAGCTAACCACTTTTGTATGTTCAAATAAAGTGCCTTTTTCGATGATCGCTTCAAGATCTTCTTCGTTCACTGCGTTGTCAGCTAACGGTAATATTATTTAACAGGTTACAAGTTTTCAGCATTACACTGAACTGAAGCTAAACTTGTATGTAAATAACTAAGCTAATTTATCTTAGATATATAAATAAATTAACAAAATTTCCACATATTACCGTGTTTTGTTTGTACTACAGTGAAATATGAAAATGATTAAATGAAAGGAATAGAAGCATACAAATTTTCAAATACGATTGAACTTTCCGCTTGCATTTATCCTTATATGTTAACTGTTCATCATTGAAAGCGATCAATAGACCTTGGAGTCTTTTTGTTAACGTCATTACCTTAAAATTTATATCAGAATATAAGAAGAAATCGAAGAATTACTTCAAAGCCTTGAAAATAATTACAAAAGCTATTTATAAACGGATGTTACAAAATGACTGATGATTCAAAAAAATGACGTTATACCACCTGATTTCTTCTGATCCGCGCCTCGACGGTTTGAGCATTTTCATCTGTTGATTTGTCGAATTGCCGCTCAACCTCGGTATTTAAACCTTAATAAAGGAATAAAAACTGTTTCAAAAAAACTTTAGTGCAAAAAAAAGACAGCTATCACAAAAATTCATCTATTACCAACAACTGCATGCACTCACTTTTAAGAGCAGACTGGGTTTTATAAAGCATTGTCGTGTAAGAAACCACTGCGTTATCTAACTGCACATTGATTTCTGCAACATTTATTTCAGATTATTCATTCCAGTGATGAAAATCCGTGTGGAGTCAAAAATTAACTATCCACATAAGTGAAATGATAAACCAAGTCTTATCAAAAATGGCCATAGAATCTTCCACTCCAGAACTTCTGACATTGTTATTTTTCAACTTTGCATTCATTATTTGTTATTGAAGAAGTTTGCGAAATGATAAGCGGAAAACTGTTTTTTCAATTCGAACAATCCAAATTAGATTTGGCTATTCTAAATTGGACAGTCCGATGAACCAAACATTCAGTTATACATGTTATCTATTACAACAAAATCTATGAGGTAAATTACGTTTACCAGGATGATCTCCTGGTTCCACAATAATTTTCCAGTGCCAATCTTTTATTTCATCCAATAATGTTTCCATTCCATTCATATCATTTACCAACCCATCCACATGCGTTAGAAACTTAAAACAGAAACTTAAAACATTATTTGAAAATTTCCTTAAAGCTGAGAGCAGAATTATATCAAATTTATGGCTGATCGGAGAGGATCAGATTTGATCAATGCTTAAAATGATGAAACTATAGCGAAATTTTCCATACCGTGTCGACCTTGCTACTACTAGCTTTGTTTAACAAATTAGTTTTCTCGGATGTGTCTGTCCACTCCTCGTCCAACCGTTCCACCAAAGCTGACAACGATATTTCCTTCTCGGCGCTCTGCAAATATTCTAAGTTTCATTACTTTTACTTCCAACGTTACTTCACTCGGTAGTATAACTTAGAATTTATAAACTGAGAAAAATATCACAGCTATATCCAAATACAATTAGACTAAACCAAAATGATCGTTTGACGATTACCATTCTTAAGCTCCTTGATGTTGGTCACACGTCAGTTTCAACAGCTGGTCAAGCACACTGTCACTAAAAGTCATGCTAGGGCTAATGAATAAAAAAAAGCCAATGGTGCCAAACAACAAATCAACATACCTGCTGCAAATCGGACAGCCTGTCTTTCATACTTAGTTCAGATTAATTCAATTCAATCCTCAATAACATCATTAATAATATCAATTCAATTATTTGACAATATCATAAGCAGCACTAACTGGATAGATTGATTCGGATTATTTAGCGAAACTCACTCAGAGAAGTTAGACGACTGATAACATTTGTGATATCCGGAAGAAGGATACAACTAATAAGGGAGAAATTCCGGTGGGAATTCCGGAGAGGTTCAAATTCCGCAGTCCAAAACTCGGAAAAACCTATATATAATACTCATGGCCGAATCCCAACCACGAAACAAAAGTTCAATCCGCAACCGTGTCACTATCTGGTTTGCTCTTCGTTTCCACACTCACTTCCACTTGACAGTTAGGAAAGTGCGGAAGATAGCTTTTTCAAGGAGGTAATCGTTGGTGACAGAGGGAGTGGAGGAGAGGGGAGGTGAGGGGAAGTGCTCTGATGAGTGTTGAAAATGAAATAACAGTGTGGTTTGAAAGTAGCCATCAGATCACCACTCTCGAGTAACAGAGCAATCAATGTACAGTGTGGGCGAGAGTAGCAAACTAAGCTTCTGAGAATAGCAAACTGAAATGCTATCGTTCGGTTTGGAGTGCATGAGAGAACACGTGGAGGAGGGAGGTCATGCAAGTGCTGCATACTCTCTTCAAATCCGCTCTTCCTCTTCAATCCATTTTTCTCATTATTGAATTTGAGAAGCACTGTTAACTGGGCACAGTGTGCATACAAAAATTTTGATGTTTGAAAAATATTTTCGAGTAATCTTCAATAAGCATATCGTCTTGCGACAACAAGGATAATACTGTACTGATGTGATTTGCACTGCTGTAAAATATTTCCAGTCCAACTTAAAATTTAAGTATTTGAGATAGGCTGAGCTTCTAACTAATCCGCTATAAAATGCAGCCAAAAACTTGGTGTTGCCTCAAAGCAACTTCAAATGGATCGAATTGGTTGAAGATGATGAAAGTACTTAAGAGATAATTCAAATTATTAATATCGAATAAGTTTGGATAAGCTGGATTCAACTTGAACGACAGACTTGGAACTACTATTCTTTTCACATATGTGTTTTAATGGATGTTAGTTCACCAAATCAAAAAATTAAAATTCCCTGGTGTCATCGTTTCAGTACTTCAGCGGATCCCAATTGCTATGTATTGATTTCTCGTACTTTACAAATAATGAACTTTTAAGGAAATAATTCAAATCCAAGAAAGCGATGGAAATTTTTGAGACTTAAGGAAATTTTCCTATCTTTATGTAGTAATTATGCGAAAACAGTAGATTTGTAAAGATACTGCTGACATCTAAAAATTAATGAAACTTCTAATAGCAGGAAATAATTAGAATAGTTTTGTGGCATGTACAATCACTTTAAAGAATAATTTTTTTTGTTCCACAATTGTAACGAAAATATCAATTTGAATTACATAAAAACATCAAATTTAGGGGATTTTTTTTTAAAAAAAAAATTCTTTAAATATGTTCACTAAGAACATTTTAGACGGAATTTGATTGCTTGGAAGTGAAAGATTCGGAAAAGAAAAAAAGCAGTTGCGAGAGTCCATCAATAGATTGAATGGTATAGATGTATGAAAGATCAGATAAACTTCAGGATTTCAAAGTTAGAAGGGAAAAGCGTGGGTTGCGATTGCTTTGCTGCAGATAATGTTAGAGTGGAGAAGAGCAGTACTGTTGCAGTAGTTGGTGAATTGAAGATGCAGCTGTATCTTCACGATGATTAGTAGTAACATCTACAGGTGTGCTTAACAAATGTCTCCGGGCTTATTGCCTGCTTCCTGAAAGCTATCCTATTTTAAAGTTGAAATGATAGCTTCTCTCAGCTATGAAAGGGAGGAGAATATCTTCGAGAGGGAGAAGTCGAGAATAATGCAAGAAGAAGGAGAGAGCAGGAGATCGAGATGTAAGAACAAGCGAAGCCTTCCGATGAGGCAGTTGAAAGAAATGTAGTTTAGTTTAGCCATTGTAAAGTTTGCTTACAACAGATGGCCATTCTATTCTTACCAACATGCACAATTGATGATTTTTTTAAATTAAATCTCGATATAAAGCTTACCAAAATTTCTTTTCTCTCATTGTTTCCGTCCACCGAGTGATACAGTTCTCCATTTACCGTCGGTCTTTATATAACTAAATAGAATATTCGGCGAATATTTTTTCTTTATTATCTTTGACAATCTTGGAAAACATTTCCAACAGTACAGATCTTTCAACTTTTAGAATAAATTCTTATGATGTCATGTCCCATACATGAAAAGGTGATCAATCTATAATTTTAAAGCGGTGGATTAATGACTATAATTTCAAACAATTAAAAAAATCTGTTATTTGCAATGTTTTAACCAGTAATTATGATTATTGGTATTTTTTCTTGTATTTGTCGTCTTTTTGCCTAGTCAGCGTAAGTACTGGCATAGATTACAAGATGATCTTTGAACAGTTCTAATCTTTCTGTTGTTTCACATATCGAACATAACTCTAAAATTTCCGAGCTAGTTTCTTAAAATGTGTTGTTAAGCATCGAAGAATTTTTGATCACTGCATTATAGTTTTTTTTCGATCATATATTATCGAAATATGCAAGTATTAAGTTAAATGTCCTATAATCCAGGAACTTTTCGCTCTTCGTCTAGATTTTTATAAATTACATCTTTAGGTAAGAAAGACGTTTAATTCTTGTTCCAGTATAAAGTTGATTGTAGGGCAGCTTCTCTCCACAAAAATCTTCATTCAAAGGTTAAAAGTCGTGAATCTTTAGAAACAGTCTCTCTATCGAAATTTTCCACTTTTTTAAAAGAAATTTTAAAAATATTTGTATTCCTTTAATAGATTCAGCTTCGAATACAGGGTTAATCAGATTTCTGCAAAGTGAGCGGATCTACAAATCTAAACTGTGCTGATCTCCATTATCCTCCTACTTACTTCTTTATTGGATTTTGGTTTATCTTTCGGTTTTTTATCTGTTAATTCTTAGATCAGTTACGATAATAATTAAGGCAAGGGTAAGAAGGAAAAAAGGAAGGTAGGGAACATATGTGGGTGATGGACAAAAGAGGTTGTAATTATTAATGTTGAAAACTACTGAAATATTAATAAAGGCTGAGGACGAGCAGGATAAATTATCGTTCGAATTTCCGCTCAAGCTAGTCATGATACATTGTCAGTCAGAGGCGTCAGTTGTTTTGTTTTCACGTTTGTTTGTTTGCCCGGTGAAGCTATAGTTAAGATAACTTACCAACGAGATTTTGTATCAACGATGCTACGTTTCGTGCTTTCAGCTCTCAAGCATATCGACTCCATTATTCTCTACTCCTTCCTTGTTTTCGCTGTCTTTCTGTCAATAGTAAAAGATTTTATCTCTTTTTTCTTAATTTTGTAAGAATTATACTTTTTTTGGAAAATCTAGAGAACAGCTATAGATTTCGAGTGAATATACAAATGAAATTTACTTCAGATGTTTTTTAAGTTAAAAAATATCAGATTAAAACTTTGCACCTTTGAGTTTGCTCCATTTTGAATTATAAATTACACATTTTAGCTATGAATAGAACAAAAAATTTTGGAATTATTATACATACGACCCAAGTAATCCAGAAACATTAGTAATGTCAAAATTTGTGTTCATATTTAAGCTCAGAAATGAAGGAATATTATGCGTACATCTATTAAGTTCAAAAGTTTTATGAAGAATCTACGTTTTCATTTGGTTAGTAGTTAAATTTCGCGGACAAGCTTCCTACTCAATCAGAAAAAATCTATTTTTAAACAATTGTAGCATGGATACGGATGAAAATAAGAGATACGAAGTACCTGAGTGTGACGATCATCCACGCTATGGAGGTCCTCTCGGCGAGGACGATGACTCCGTAAGTACATAAAATTGATTTTAGTTTTTTTAAGGATTCGTTTCCTCGGCCGGAAGAAATTTTTGAACTAGTTCTTAAAAATAAGTAAAAATTTAGCGGCGAAAATCAATTGTTTTGTTCTTCATTCATTTATTGTCATGAAATCAGTAATTTATTTAATTTCCTTTACCAATTACCGCAGGAAGCGAAACGGAAAGCGGAGGAAAGAGAAATGAAGAAAGCCGAAGTGCGTAAGCGCCTGGAGGAAGCTGGCAAGAAAAAGGCGAAAAAGGGTTTTTTAACTCCAGAGAGGAAGAAGAAACTTCGTGTAAGCTTCATGAATGCTATTTCTACGGAAGTATATCACAAAATTGACTGGTTATAGAACATTCTGAGCCAGCTTCTAAAATAAATGAAAATATTATTAGAAAAATAGAAATTGATCGAAATGATGAAAAATCGATTTTATTATAACAAAAATTTTTAAAATTCTAGAAGCTGCTTATGATGAAAGCAGCAGAAGATCTTAAACAGCAACAATTACTGAAAGAACAGGAAAGGCAGAAAGTTCTCTCACAACGTACAATACCATTACCAGATGTAGACACCATCGAAGATCACGGTAACATAAAATTGAATTCTATTAATCACGAGAAATCTTTTTAAATCAAGTAATCACTTTTTCAAAAAACTCATATTAGTAGCAAAAATATTGAATCCATAAAAATCATGAAACGAATTTTACATTAATAGCTAAAACAACCTTTTTTGATTTGAAAAAACTTCAAAATCAAAATCAGTGAATTTGGCAGGTAAATTGGAAGCAATCTACAATCAGTTGTTTCAACACATGGTAAAGTTGGAAGAGGAAAAATACGATATTAACCAAGCAGTCATGGCTAAGGATGCTGAAGTATACAGATTTCTTCCGTTTTTATATATAAGTAAAATTTTATATATAAATAAATTTTAAAACTTGACCTCGCTCTTCAAATTACGAGCTGAAATGCTTTATCTATATTTTCAGATCAATGAACTTACCATTGCTGTGAACGATCTGCGAGGGAAATTCGTGAAACCGACGCTGAAAAAAGTTTCAAAATATGACAATAAGTAAGTTTCGAAATAACTTGTAATTAGAGACTGATTAGCAATTTTATAATGGCTTGTCATGCACTGTAACTTTTACCGCTAGTTATTTTATACGGTCTGTACTAGATCTAAAATAAATCTGTTAATTCAGCTTGGCATGAAATTTAAATGGCGTAGTTTTAGATTCAAGAAAATGGCGGGACAGAAAGAAGATAAGCAAGACTTCCGAGCAAACCTCAAAGTTGTCAAAAAAGATAATGTCATCGATGATATCGTTAATAAAGTTCGTTTTTTTCTATTTGTAAAGAAGGCAATTCTGCATTATGATGTTCCTCTGCATGCAATTTGCGTGCAGAAACTGCATGTGGAAGGTGGTTGTTTTATTATTGCATTTCTTTATCTCATTATTTTAGCAAATGGCAAAGAAGACTGACAAGCCTGAGTGGTCCAAAAAAACTAGTGATAAAGGTGGCGCTGAAGCGGAAGAGAAAAAGCAGGAAGCGCCAGTGGAAGAAGCAGCACCTCCTGAAGACGCTGCCGAAGAAGAAGGCGTTGAGGAGGGCGAAGAAGGAGGTCGGTCTTTTTTTAAAAAGGAAAAATTATAGAATAAAATTTAAAGATCAGTTTTGAACTTCTACAAAAAGAGCTATTTGTTCAGATTTTAAATTCGAAATCTTATCAGCAATTCGTACACTATTTAAATTGCTTTTGCAAATTTTTAGATGAGGAAGCTGAAGAAGAAGAGGAGGAAGAGGAAGAATGAGTGATATCCCCCACTTCCCTGTATATTATTTATACCTATGTCTTCATTTCGAAACTCGTGTCATTTTATTATTTTCTATCTTTTGAAAAAAACAATACTGAATGTTGACTGTTGATGACAACGATTTTCTTACAGTAAATTTATCATAGTACAGTATATATCGCTGCGGTCACTGATTACATAGGTTACCGTATAAAAAGCGTTATTCTCTCCTCCAGAGAAGGTTTACGCTCACATTTTTATTTCGAAAAAAAAACCTTTTGAATTACTCTATTAACAATTGCCTTCTCTCTCTATTGTTCAAGTCTGCATATTAAAGATTGGATTAAAATTTCTGATCCAAATAAAATCCTGTAAACAATATGTATTTATTATGTTGAGAACAGTATTACCTTTTTAACTGAACGGAAGCAAAACGGGAAATAATGGCTTTATTTTTCTGTGTGATAGAAATTATAAGGAATGCAAAATTTGAAAAAGGAATGCAAAAAAAAGCAGAAATTGAAAATTCTTTTGCAAAACAAAATTAGCAAGGGTTCATAGGGAAGTATCTCATGTTTAATGTTTAAATCTTTTAATATAAAACTTATTTACACATCTTGCTCTTTTCTTTCTATTCGTGATGAAGGTAAATAGCAGAGAACATCAAACGAAAAAAAACTCGTACATTTCCAATTTTTGTCAAAATAAAGTTGACAACAAGGAACTGAAGATCTGTGATGCAATTTATCATTAACAGATAAATATTCAAAGCTTCTTGTTAGCAATAAAGACAGGGAGACACTTATGAATAAAATAAACTTTTCAATGGATAAGCATGATTATCTGCCTGATTGATAATTGTTATCTTTTGAGTAACGATAACTGATAACTACAATGTATTATTTACTTCAAAGACAGAACAATATTTCAAGCATGAGACAGCGTGGAAAACTGAACAGGAAAAGGAATGATGTATGTATCAAAAAGTAGGATAAGCGAGGAGAAATTTAGCCTGATGGCAAGTAGATGTTGCTCGTTTCAAGCCTATGTTTCTTTCAAATAAAAGAAAGATTTCTCAGTTCAATGACAGTCAAAATAACATTTTTTTGACATTTGTTTAAGAGGCATTATGTGGAACTGGCCTTGTTTCCATGCCATTGTACAAGTTATCTTTATCTCCTTCACTACCTCTCCTCTACACAGCCCTATCGTTATTGTATTGTCATCACCATTATCGATCTCATTATCTTTACCGATACTAAAGCTATCATACGCTAAAAACAACGTTATCACCCTTGCATCAACATGATCAAATGTGGTATTCAAATAAACTGACCCCTTCAAACAAAAGAGTACATCCCAAATTCGGCACACTACATTATTACAACACACATCTAACCTGTCCCACCTAAGTGACATATTATTTTCAGATCTTCCTATTCTACAATTTTTGAAACACTATAAATAGTTGCACATAATTCCTCCATTCACATTTTCTAATTTTTTTCCACAACTGAAAGTTGTTTCCTTTTTTCGGTATCTGAAGCACTATCCTATCTTTATATTAATGCATTAATTTTTGATCCCCACCTAAAATCCTGAATTTAAAAATTATGATGAATAAGCAAAACCAGCTAACTGTATAAAATTTTCTTTAGCATTCGCTCCAGAATGAAATGCACAATGATGTAAAGTTCTATCAACATTTTATTTCAACATTTTCAATTACAGTTAATGAAGATGATTCCGTTATTGCTTGTATTTTCTTCGGGACAAGTATTTTTCGTGACCAGTAAGTTTATCCTAATGAAGCTTAACTAATAAAAGGCATGTGTCATTGTTCGACTTAAAATTTTGAATACTATACATTGCTTTCACGGAATACTTTTTTTTTAATATAAAAAACAAGGTCGATTATAATAATTTACAGGTCAGAACAACGGCAACCCTTATTACGGAGTACCACTTGGTGCTCTTCATTACAGTGATGGTAATACACGAGCGGAAGCATATGCTGCTAATGAATATACCGTCATTTTTCATCATTTCACACATCGACCACGTCAACTAGGATGTATATTTATTTAATACTTCACGTATCCAGTGATTATTAAATCCACATCTTCACCTTCACTATGAGCAATTTCGTAAAAGTCCAAAAATTTCCAGTGTTATTAATTTAAATGTTTGGTAAGATAGAATATTGCTCGAAATACGATAATAAGTTTCCCTTCCACTCTGTTATTAAAATTGTCATTGACTTCTTTAAAATAAGCAATCATTTAAAAAAAGTTTTGAAGATGTCTGGAATTAATTACTTTATTTTAGGCACTTCGATGATAATTGGACCACCACGGACAACTGATCGTAACACGGTTAATGGCGGTGTTTTCTTGTCGATCTCACAACCCATGATAGCATCTCAGCCCACTATTAGAAGACGATTTACCCGTCAAGTGTCCTTCTCTATTTTCGGCATGCATAATTGGCCTGTTGAATTTGGTCATCTCGAACTTCGAAAAGGTTTTCTTTAAAATTACGAAAAAATTTACGAAATTGTGTTGTTGAGAGCAAAGTTTTAATTTTCGTTATTGAAAAATACTGACTTGTGACTTTAAAAAGGAATAATGTCAGGCAAAAATGTTTTCATTAATTCTGTAAAGATGCATGTTAATATCAATCATTTAAAAAGATGGCAAAGAACCAATAACGACCCAGCAGAAAGATCCGTTTGCGGGAATTGAAATCGATATGAATCCATCGGAGGACCTTACTCCGAAAACAAAAGACATCCATATCGAGGGAATCAGCGGTCCTGAAATTACAGCTTCATCAACCACATCAACGACGTTTGTTTGTTTTACGTTTCGATGGCTATTTAATATGGAATAGCAATTTTAGAAAGAGATAGGTCTGATCTTAGTAGCCCAGATATAGTGCTATACATTCCTGATAATCCAAAGAAATCCACCTTGTGAATTTGGACCAATAATAAGTCGTTGTATTTTCCAGTCTGCTAATAATATTAATTCCCATTCACTAATTTCCAGGAACTTCAGTGCAATTTTCTCCTCAGTCGCTACAACTCAGAATGATTTTTCTTCTGAGTCAATGAACGAAATAACACTGTTTGACACAAATACGTACGTTTTTCAAACTCTCCAATCTTTGACATCATTTTGAGGATCGAAATTCAGCTTATTTTATTTTGTACTACTTCAGAACCAATATATTTGATGGCAGTGAAGTATCCGAGAAAATCGGCGATGAAGTTGAACAATCAAATCCCACCACCGACAACATCATTATTACAAATAAAAATACAACAACTGTGACTAACAGTAATTAAAATTTTGCTTATTTTCCAGTGATAGCAGGTAAGAAAACATGAAAATGAAGCTCGGAATCAGGGTAATCAGGAAGTGAACAGAAAAGGTAAGCTGAGGAAAGGTAGTAGAGGACAAGAGAATGGGCTTCAGATTTTCTAGTTTTTGGAAGTGCGATTTTAAGAAGTCGAGGAAACTAACACTTAACATTCATTAGGCCTGAAGAACTTGATACCAAAATATCAGAAAGTCTATGCCTAGCTGTTTTTCTCTATTTTTCTTTAATTATAATTTTTGACGGGCCAGCAGAAAAATTCAATCCTGAAGATCTTAAATCGACAAGTGAATCTGAAGATTTCCATACCGGTGCTGAGTTTGAAGGTGATGAGAGATTGACGACTACAATATCCTCAAATGATATTTTGAAGCGAGTGTTTTTTTTATCAATTCTAATTTTTCTGCAATGCAATTTAAATTTTAAAATAAGCATAAGTGATAATAAGCATTATACAACGATATACATTGATTTGAGAGATTGGATGGATGGAAATTATGTTGGTAGTACTTTATTTTACAATTTCATGAAACGAATTTTTAAAACCTACACAAAACTAATTACTTTTTTGCTATTCTACGATTTTTGATTAAATCGTGGATGTTTTTACTTCAGAAGGCCGTTGACAACGGCAGAAGGTAATCAAAATGATATCAGAAATGAAGAAGGACAAGTTGATAATGAAATTAAGGACGTTGTCAAAAATGGTGATAGCAGTGAAATATTTGCAAATGGTGATGTTTTTCTGCATGAACGAAATGGATATCCATTAAAACAGGTAGTTAATTACTTATGATAATGTCAATGGAGCTAAACAGTCGCATCCTACAACTTAAAGAATATTAAAACTTTTTCTTCTTTTCTTCTTCAGCTATTATTAGTTTAATTTCATAGTCCGTAAATATTAGAATTGACAGGAAAAATTACTGTCGCATCATGAAAAGAAAGCTGAAAAATCCATCAAATTTGACCGAAAAGACAAAGGATTTCCAATTATGCTTGGTGAAACTATATCTGAAAAATGGGCCAGAAAATCGTTACGGCAATCTACTGCGGAAAAGCGAACTAAAGGTATATTGGTATCCGGTAGATTCTTATTTTTATCGAATTTTGGAAGGATCTCCTGTTTCTAAAATTTCATTTATGATTCATCATTGCCATCTAATCAATGAATGAAAAAGTCGGTAGTTAATCAGTATTAACATATTTGTAACTGATATGATTTGATCCAAACGAATAGGTAGGTGTAATAAGTAAAAGTAATATTGCTTGCAAATCTACAACTTTAAATGAGATATACGTGAAAATTTACTCGTATCTGCAGGTAATGAAGACAAATCAGCGACAGACGACTATTTATTATCGGATAAGTTCTTCAAAACAGATGGAGATGTGGTATTAGTGTCAACTCAAAATGCTGCAATTACCACGATGCCTTTATCCAGAGAATCGACACCGTTATATTGGGTTATCCAAGATCCCAGGTTGACGAAGAGAAGACGCATGGAACTTCAAAAAAAGGTATGCTTATTTCAAGCGATGAAGCAATAATTTTTTGTTAATTAAGATAATTTTGAATTTTCAGAATAAACATGAAAATAACTTGGATCATAGAGCAGTAACGACAGTTACGACAACTGCAATTGAATCTCGTCTCAAAGTACACATCGATCGTCGCTTTGAGCTACCGTTGATTGAGGACAAAACAGTTGTATTTTCGGTTACGAATGATGCAAAGATAACAGAATATCAGTGGATTGCTTTACGTGATCACTGTGCTCAAGTTCGCTCATTAATCTTGAGACGTTTTTCTCGAAACTTAATTTTTGCTATTTGCACATAGTCAGCAAAAAATTTAGAGTGATTGGATTGTCATTCGATGTTTTCAATGCTAATTTATTCAAGCTTCAGAAACAAGTAAATAATTTCAATTGTGTAGAATTATTATTTCAAGGCTTTCTAGGAGAGTAAGTCTATGGCCCATCCTAATTTTGGAGTACAAATTAATGTCTTATCTTATCAGCCTTACTTAAAAAATTATTTAAAGAAAACGATCCCGCTGTTATCATTAAAAGGAATTGATCCGCCACATGAGGAGAAAATTGGTGCTCTGTTGGGACAGTCTCATAACGTTACATCGCAACGTGTACAGATTTTGAATTGCAATACAATCTTCATACCAGACTTTGTATTCGACCAAGGAAACGATACATCAGGTTATATTTACCCAAACTTCGCAAAACGTTAGTCTCGGTCCTGCAAGTATTTACAACTCATGGATTAGTGCTCATGTTTTTCAGTTTTTCTCGTCTTTTAACTCATCTTTGCTCCTTTCATCATATATCCTGTATCTTTGAAGCAGCTGAAAAAGCGCAGATGTCGAAATCTTGACTGGTGTTTCTCTGAAAAAGCTTTCTTCGCTCATGGAATAGCCAACTTCCTTTCGTAAGCTTTGGTGATTTAAGACGGCGTAGAATTCCACAGAAATTCATCGCAACCTAATATTGCTTTCTACTTCAGAAACATATTTCTACATTGGTATTGGGCATTTTCCTGACAGAATCGAAAAACAGGTGCGCGCCTACGTTGTTGGACAACCACCGTTAGTCATGTCTTTAATTTAATATGATTTTTGAAAACTAAAAAAAATTTAATATACTCGTTTTGTAGACCATTTAATGCTTGGTACGCTATAGTCTAAGCTTTCAGTTCTTAGTAATCACAGCACACTTTCTATATCACCTCTACAGTTGAGATAAAGCACGCACTAATGTTTTCATCTTGTGTTGCTGCTAAAAATTGCGTGATGCATAATATTTTGCAAAATTTCAGTGATCAACCGTTGAGGAACTATAAAAGTGAAAATGTGATGATACGTCTACCGAAAACGTACCGCACATTTGATATTGACTTCATTTCGGTATTCAATGAAATAGAAAGACGATCGTATGGACACGTTATTACGCCAAGCTTACTTGTACCACCGTGTAATGATTATGATGTCATCTAATTTCGTACCCTATTTTCCATATATCAAATTATTTACAGTTCCAATATTTAGCGTCCTTGCGTCACCCCACTACTGAAAACATGTAGCTAATCAAATTATGTCATCAAAGCTAATTTAGTTATAATCACAATATGTTCTGCTTGAAATTATTATGGCACTTGAATATAAATTGCCTTTGATGAGTTAACGAAAGGTTAATCATTTCGATAAACATACTAAATATGAATGTGAATAGAGTAAAAAATATCTTGTTAAAGTGATTAGTTTCTATTTTTCAATAAAATTTCAAAACTGTATTTTGCAATTTCTTGATATGAAGTCATTGCTTCCAGTTCTTCAGTCCGCGTTTTCAAATTTTATTTTTGCTCGAGGTCTCTACTTTTCTTCTACTTTACTCAACCCGTTTCTGACTGCAGACCCGTCATTTTGTTCTTCACATATATGCTTCATCAAAATTCTTTTCACTGGCAGCATTGTGTTTCAGTTTGGAAAAAAAGTATTATTACACATGTTATCGATTAGTTTGAATGAAATTTCATTTGTAGAACTTTGTTATTTTGGACATTTGTGTGATCTGCTCGGAATTCTCATTACCTTTATTAATCCCTTCTTTTTTTGGTTCTTCTTCTCAGTGATTTATCATTTGATTAAATTTTGAAGTGATTCTTCATAACTAATAACAAGCAATTTATTGTACAAAGATATCACGTTTGGCTACAGAAAGCAGATGGTAATGCGCTGAAAGAGGAATGTTTGCGAAGTGTCGTTAACAAAAAAGTCGCCACCGTTCATGTCCACAAATCAAAGATAATAAAGAAATAATTAAAGAGTGAAAACAACATAAAGTCTATATAGTAATTTGCCTGATTTTTCAAAAACTTCGGTAAATTCTATCCTTCGAATCAAATTTAAATTTTGAAATTGAATTAATAAGGTCAAGTGAAATACTCTCAACTCATATGTTGTTTATACAGTCAGTAATCATGAATTCATCAGAAAATCGATTACAGAAAAGTTGAGTATCGTTCATCTGAACTGTTCAACGACGAATGATTGGTATAAAATGAAAGTTATCCTGGCTTTGCGGACTTGCCATGTATTCTGCTAATGATAAACCCATGCTTGCTGTAAATTTAATTCCCAACAACTATCGTTTATTACTATCATGAATGTATAAATGAGTTATAAAATGACTAAGAGTTTTTCGTGGAAGAAATCAAATAAGGATTGAATTCTTAACAGGAATTGAAATGCTGGAACACTCAGGAATTTTCAACTACTAAGTTATTTCAAACTTCAATATTGCTTTTAGTAATGCTAATTATCAGAGAATCACTTACGGCTACGTTTTGTCTTGAGCAACATTGCTTGATAAATTCTTTTCAGCTGTTCGATTGGCAAATCATTATCTGTTCCATCAGTCTGCAGTTTATCAATTCGTAAAATAAAATATAGACTTTCACATTAGTAAAAAAAGGGCTAAACAACTTGACATTTGATTCATAAAAATGGGAATCCTTACGACGATTCAAATTATTTCATTTCTCTTTTCCGACCTCTTCAAAGAAGATAACTTACATTTTTCGACCACGCAATGGAATCCGTAACGAGTACGATAAGTAGTGTGATTGACAACTTCATGCTTGTACCAAAAATTTTTAAATTACCCTTCAAAGCTTTGATTTAAAATTGATTTAATCGCATAACGTTGATTATCAATTTTTTAAACTTTACAAAAAAACAATTTCTTTTAGAACAACGATCAGTGCTATATCAATTTCTAATCTTCAACAAATTATAAAACTGATGTTTCTGAATTTCCATGAAAAAATAACGACACAATAAATTGAATTAAGAAATGTCTTATTTTAATTTTAAAGGCTTTATTAGAAAATTTAAAAAAAAAGGAATAGAACGTTGTTTTAAAGCAGCCATGGTTATATAACTGAAAACAGTAATCTATTAAAATACAGAGAGCCACTTATTGTACGCCTCATAACACTCAGCAACGCCTATGATTTCTATAATACTTAATGGAAGTCACTTGCTAAACTCATCTTATTCATTAAATTATTAACTGAAACATGCCAAAACTACAGGTTTTTGTAAGACTTTTACATTTGCTTCACGTAAATCAAATATAGTTCTAGAAGTTAAAAGGAAAACTAACGTCGACAAACCTATAGGTTCCTGAACTATTGATGAAATTCCAAGAGATGCCGAAGGATAACAGTATCATCTGCCAAAAATTCACAAATATATACACAATTGAAATTTACTTATTACTTCATAGAACTTAAGAAGTTGTTAAGAAGCCTTTGCGATCCATAAGACACCTTACACAATACAACACACGGGCCAGAACTATGAATACTGTTTCCGGTCTATCTAATGTCATCTTTCACAATTACTTCTTGCTTCGGAATACATTTCAGACTTCAGTTCACAATCAGGAATGTCTTGATCTCTTGAGTGTATCTTTATCTTCTCAATTGCGCATTGTTAGTCTTTACTATCACTGACTTTATTTGTCGGTAAGAGACAATCAATGAAACAAAAATTTGTCAAATGTTCATACCGTCAGATTTATTTTTACTAATAGGCTATCTATATTTAACGACAAAACATCGTTAAGGGGAAGAAATTTAATGATATCAAACAAAAAATTATAAATCCTAGTGATACGAATTTTTAGATAAAACATTTAATGTATATATCATTGCGACAATTCTTCGACACAAAAAATGAACAGTTGTTTTGTATAGTATGGTTTCAAACTATGAACGTTTAACAATATAATCAAATTCTTTCTCAAAATGTCCAAATGCTCTTTATCAGAACTAACCAAAATAGAAAAAAAATGAACTAACGATTTAATTCATATTGTTCTATCTGCTAGTTTTTTTTTTTCATTTTTCATCAACACTTCGATTAATGCTTAGAAATTCGCTTTTACAATTTTTGATCCTAGAATTTGAATCTCAATACTTTAGCATCTGAAAGTTTCCATTTGACTAAGTCAGATTTTAAATTGTGAATAAACATATTGGAATTTACTGTATTTAATTTTGAATGTAAGATAATTTTGTCTTAATCTAATTTACCCTTTTAAATTCTGATTTTATCTTCATTCGAGGCTAACTTCTCATTTCTGAAGATAAAATGTTTTATAATGTGAACAAAAAAACTGAAAAGCACAGTAAGCTGTACTCATCAACAGTCTTTCGGTGATTATTCCTTTATCACGAAGTGGAAGTAAAGGACTCCATAATATCTGCCGCCGTTTCCTTCAGTCTATTTAATCGCTTTATTTTGTTGTTTTCATCTGATTTTTCAAAATGATGTACGTACTGTTCCTTTGGCATACCTGCAGCCTGAAGATATGCCAACCATAATTCTACACACAAAATTTTAGTCCCACCAAAGTTTATTTTTTTTTAGAATGTTTGCATTTCAAAGCTCTGTTCATTTCAATTCATATTTCATTTAAGTTGTAGAAGAGAAATGTTTTAGTTTCTTTCGTTGAAAGAGTTTATTCGATAGATTTTGAAGGCAATGCAAATTCTGTGATAACTGCTTGCCTGCTTTCCTTCCGGTTTACACAAATTTTTGATGTTAGGATGAGAGGAAAAGATGGTGTCAGGCAGTGCATACCTTATGATCTATTGGTTCAATCCATCAGCATTATATCTTAGAAAGGGGAAACACCTTACAATCACCTCCTTCTCCCAATCTAGACCTTATCACCACGATCATCCATTCTTTGTTCCCTTCCACAGTTTCATTTGCCAATCCTCAAAGCTGCTTTTTACTTGAACATGAGAAGGAGATAAGACAGGTGATCATTTAACTATTAAAAAGATGCAACATAGATATTTTCAAAGAACGAAAACATTTTTGATCGGCAACATCAGTAGAAGTTGGAATCAAAAGCTGAATTGCACCATAATCTACTAATTTACAATATACTGTAAAAAATAAAGTTTATTTTAAAATAAGCTAAATTCAATTCACTTGTCACATTGCTGCATCAATTAAAAAAACAACTTCAAATATAGTCTTTCAGAATAACTTGCAGTAATTTGCATTCATTGTATATAGAATATTAAAACAATATCATAAAAATGGGATGCATGATATTGTCTAGCAATATTGTTGTATTTGTGATGTTAAGGTTTAAGGTAAAAAAAAAACGTTCAAGGGAAATTACATAGGGAGTAATTTAAGAACGAATAATCAGTTCGAGAACAAAAATGTTAAACATGAACACATTGCTTGAAAACAATATCATTTCCTATGGCCTGTCATTCGACGACACTTATGAATATTCACTGCACATTGTTAACTAATTAAGTGATGCAAGATAATTAATAATGCCTAGCTAAGATTATTTCCCATTAAAAGACGAATATATTTCTTCTCTTATTTTTTTTTCTTCCTTCCTGCTTACAATAATTTAAGAATAGTTGAAAATAGATGCGAATATTTCATTTTTTAAGTAAAAAGAATATGATTAGAAAAAAAGGAAGTTTTCATTTTCATTTTACTTTACCCAATTGATCACGAATCAAAGATTTAGTGCACTGAAACATATTTGCTGTATTTAATCCCTTATCTGCATTCATCCAGTCGATGACTTAGTTTTCCCAAATTATTGTTCATAATAACTTGATCAGTTTCACTCAGTCCATCTTACTGTTATCGAAAAAAGGATGAGCGAAGTAGAAAACAAGCGAATAGTTTTAGCTGGCTTAACCTTTGAACGATATTAAAAAATGTTTGCCAGTGCCTTTACTATTTTTTAACTTTGTATTTATTCTCTTTCCGTTCTCTTTTGCACCTTTCATCCTGAAAGCAAATTTTTTTCAATTCTTTCAGCTTTTTTCCTCACTTTTCCCTCTTGCTCATGCTTTTCTCCCAACATTTCTTCAGCACTCACTTTAGTAGTCTACTTCTTAAATGATGGAATTAAAATTCAAAATGAATTTAGCTCCGTCAAG